GTGTGTGTGTGTGTGTGTGTGTGTGTGTGTGTGTGTGTATTTTATCGACATATACATATACCTGTGATATACTTTATGTTCGCGTGTCTATCGGTCCGGACTTCGAATACGTGTAGCGGCGTAAAGATTATCTGCGTTGGCTTGGAATTTCTATTCAAACTGCTCAACTAACGTTTTGCTCTTGCCCCTGCCCAACTCACAGTGTGGAAATGGCGTGTGCGATAGTCCTTACACCGCCACGTGCAGGTGTGATCCTGGCTGGGAAGGCGCCACGTGTTTAAATGAGATAGACGAGTGCATAGAAACACCCGTTGACTGTGGCAGGCATGGTGCGTGCGCGGATAGCTTCCTGAAGGCCATTTGCGACTGTGATGAGGGCTACTCGGGTATTTACTGTGAAATACCGCCTCGGTAGCAAGCGGATAAAGATTAGTGGTATTCAAATTAAAATAAACTGTACATAGTATTTAAAGCGCGGCCGGTGGAATTGGCGGAATTGGTGGAATTTTAATACAAAAAACCTTTGCCTAGAGCTGAATGCTTATTCTGTTTAACAATGTTCAATTTTAGTCCCTGCATAATATTAAACAAAGAGTATTGACAAATACATAGAGGGTGGGGCATATGGCGTACGCTCTAATATTCTCGTCAAGACCTTTTGCGTTTGTGATGACTGCTAAACACTACGGAGTCTAAAGTCGAAAATTGCAATGCCAGACCACCTCTGAAATGTTGCATCAAGACCGGGTTGCTCGTGACGGAATTCTGGATAATCATCGGGGTATTTGATTAGATTTTCGATAAGAGTGGAATGAAACAATAGTAGATTATGATGGCTCAAAAAAGTATTCGATATATAGGGAAGCATAAAGATGCATATTGTGGATCTGAGACAGCGAATACTGGGTTGGTCAGTGCAATTCATCCCCTCCATCATATACTGGCTACATAAGCAATCTGGTTAAGACACCAGTATCTAAATTGGTCTACATTGATCAATGCAAGCATTTTAAGATTCCCTCTTACAATACCTCGATGTTTTGAAAAACATTTGCTCATTTAAATCCTCTTCGGGGAATGACTGTCGATACCTTGTGTGTGAACCGTTTGGATAGTACATTTCGCAGACTCATCACACTGATTGTTAATAATAGTACATAGAAAAAATGGCTTGTTAACAAATTATATATACATATATATAGCTTTATTATGTAGTTGGCAGTTTACTGAAACGGTGCATCTCGCGCGCCAAATCCGGACAGGCAATAACATCTGTCCTTTCTATATCAATCAGTTATGAGGACCACGGGACCATGACCCTTTCATCGAGAAGCTCTGTAGCCCAGGACTCTAGGTTTAGAAACTGAGACTTGCAATTTAGTTTAGCAAGTTGTATCGTGAGCACCACGGGTGATCCGATTCTCATGTGCGCTGAGTAACCTCAAACTGTGGCGATGCGCCATCAGGACCTACGCTGGCCCAAGGACCAAAGTTGCACAGACACTCTTCGGCGGTATCATCCGGGTATTGATAAATGGGTAGACCTCCAATGGTGACCACACCTTCGCTATCAACTTGTATGAAACCATCCTCGCGTAGTGTACTATTATCGGCGACAGTGTCATCGAAAGTGATCTCGCATTCGGGATCGGTTATGATGTATGGCCATACATCTCCGGTGTATAAGTGCTGGCCGTCGTATTTCTCCTCGGCACATTCCTCCTCAGTACCCTCGCAGTCCAGCTCATCCGCCAATGCATTCGAGTCTGGTCTATAGAAGTATACACACTTGGAGTCTGAGCTACTCGGACCTCCAGCTGTTGTCACGTTAGACGCATTGGTAATGATCAAGGCGGGCGAGTCAGGGTCGTTCTGAGGTTCACTATTGCCATAGCTAATGCTATCGTCGATCGAGATTACCAAGGAATTGCACTCTTGACGCCGGGTTACACCGGCATGAGCCACAAAGGAAGCGCTTAATAGAAGTGCCGCTGACAATTTAATTTGTGAATACATGATGAGACTTTGAGGCGAGGCTGGAATGTTTTCGTTAGAAATGGTCGGAAGTGCTGTGCAATGATTGTGAACTCATTGTTTTATAGCTGCAAATAGCTGTGGATATACATTTAGAAGTAAATAAATATATTTCTCTATTGTAGTGAGATCACATCAGTTCGAGTCGAGGAATCTTTAGAGAGGGACGGAGGCTGTCTCTGTACATGTATCATAAATATCAGTGTAAACTGTAAAGACCATCTCTGGAGAAAAATGCTTCGCATAAAAATATTGTGCTCCATATGTTATTTCTTATTTTAGATTGTTTTTTAAATAAATATAATGTTTTGTGAAGTCTTGAAGCCACAGCAGTGAAGCCCGTGCAAGTGATCAACTGATAATAGGTCATAGCCCATAGAGGTGAACACTAAATGCCAAACGGAGGTCGGAGTGTATAATAGAGAAGGCTAAATATGGTCGGAGGACCTGCAATCATCCAAAAATTGTATATATATATAAATTTAAACAAACCAAAAACCTAAATACCATTGATGCGTCATACGCTCTAGAGTCATCTAATTTTTTAAATTTACTTGATTCTGGTTGTATACTGGATTTAGATTGTAGTCATGTAGTGCAACCTTTTTGATGTTAAAAAAAGTACAAGTTAAACTTCTCATTGGACTCCGCTGTCTGTACCCTACTGCCGCAGAGTCGCTGTCGGTCATGAGTCAACACTCAACAGTGGCAGTGTCTGTGGGCTGGCACTGACAGCCTACATACAGGCTACATCAAACATGCCCACTTGCCCCGGCCCCAGGCCCAGGGAGATGTCTCTCTCTCAAACTCTCTCTAGTTACAAATTACTAGAGAGGTAATGAGCACTATTTAGATCTCAAGAGCATTACGCAAGTCGTGTAAATACTAAATAGACAGATTGCTTGCAAATAAAAAGCGCTGTGTACATATGTAAATATTTAGCGAGAACTCAAATTTATGTATTTAAAAAATAAAATAAAGTTTTTTTTAGTAGATAAGCAATGATCCAAGGTATAGTTTCCAAGTTAAATAAATAATACCAACGCCTTCAACTTCTCGTTTAGGATATTGCCTTTTTTAGTATTTACTTTCTTTATTATTTTAACAAAAAAACAAAATAGCTTGATCAGTAGAAAATAGCCACAGCTGTGATCATTTTTAATTCGCAAACATTGCGAGGCTATGTAAATACAAGAGACATATCACGTTGAACAGTCTGTTGTGTACTTGCAATTTGTGGTCCTAAACTGAAGCGAAACTATAGTACATCAGAATTCACAACTCAGAATGTAGTAATGAGATCTGAGGGCCAGGCAGTTTGACAAATCAACAGGTTCCTTGGCAGTCAGTGTTTACTTACAATCGAGGTATATCTTCCGTAGCCAAATAGACGCCTATAGATTTTTGCAGGCAGCGATAGCCCCAAGCATTATATTTACTTCAAAATGCGCATTTGCTCTTTTAACAATTGCATTGGTTGAAACGGAAATTAAGAAATGCATAGTAGACAAGCGTTGACGATAAAGTTGTGTTGAAGTGCGACTGGTTTTGATCTATACGTTTCAGATATGCCGGCTTACTGATATATATTCACACCAGCCCGATACAATTTAAAAATTGACAGATATTTCGCAGATTGAGCAAACAGTCGGTCATTTTAACTTCGAATAATATATCTCCATAAATATATATATGTATATATGTATTA